ATGTAGCTATCGTGAGCAATATAATTGATTTTCAATATTGGATTCACTCCATAAAAGGAGGCAGCACACGTAGCGAAAGAACTAACCAGAGAGAGATTGGGGATGGTGGTTTACATCCTATATTGTATATCATGGTACTCTCCCCTTAATCATTCAAAAATATTGCAGTATGTTTCAGCTAAAAATAAGATGACTTTGACCGCGATGTTAACGAAATAATTAAATTTGATCATTTTCAGACTAACATTAATTGGAAACATTAGCTTAATAGCTCTTTTAAGTAATATCAGTGACGTAGAAAATATTAAAGGAATTGAGTAATCCCACCGTATTTTATATTAATTTAAAGGGCGCGGGATTGTTCGTTAATAATGTCAAATACATTTTGTGTATGTAACAATACAAATAGACATGCAACTGCACAAATAGTTAACACCTCTGAGTGCGGTGGTTATACATCCAACATACGGGTAATGGGTCGTTTTATGTGGCTCCAATGGGATAAACGTCCTCCGACGTTAGGGTAAGTTACTTCATAATAACTGAGAAAATCAACACCTACAGATTTCTAGATGAAATGAAATGAAATGGGGTTTAACGTCCTACTCCTAAACTGGGCTAATGAAGACAAGCATACGCCATACAGTGTGCAATGAGGGAAATTTTGCCCGGGCAGCGGCACTACGGCCTACTCTTTTACGTGCACGCCAATGTGTACACGGGAAATCGGTTTTTCGTCCCATCCGAACGACTAGACAGCTGTCCTTGTCAGGCCCTCCGTCCTGCATCACTGACAAGGTGAAACCACGCCGGAAAATCTGGATGAACTTCCTCGGCCAATGCAGGGATCGAACATCCGACCTCCAGGCTAGCGAGCCAGCGTCTTACCCACTTAGCCACCGTGATCTCCAGATTTCTAGGTACTATGATTTCTAGATACTATGGCTCTACCTATTATGTTGGATATAATACTTCAATATATTTTTAATGATAAACTGCTTTTCAACCGATTAACATCACAGCATTCTCGGCGCACTACTTGTAATTGAAAGGAAGCTGTATTATCTATTCAGTGAGTATACACACAAAACAGGTCATCATAGCCCTAGATATAAATTTATGTAACTTAATATAACACACAGTCACGTTACACGGACATAATAAAACATAAAGAAAACCTGGTGTAAAACACATGTATCCATTTCCGGATTGCACGATGACTGTTCGATGATATATTATTAACGAAGACATACCATTTATAAGTACTATAAACTATATGATGATTAGAACAAGAGAATTAATGATGCTGATTATCTTTCTTATTGCAGGTCAGTTTTTAACATTTCTTTAAAATGTTTCCTTCCAGATTAGGGGTGGGTGCCTGAATGGTGTAACGCGTTCGCGTTAGTTTATAATGGTCTGTTTTTGAGTCGCGTGGCGTATTGGATAAGAAGTATGGTCGTCTGTCCAGCCTCTTGGGTTTTCTCGGGGTCCTACTAAAGACCCCTACGCCAAGCGAATTCTAGAAATAATATTGAACCGTATGGTAGTCCCGAAATAAACACCACTTCTCTGGATGTTTCAGCTTAAAATATATAACTGGGCTGAAATAAACCCCATAATTATCGCATTGTAGACCGGGTATAATTACACGGGGATACATGTGTGAAAACAAATCTAACGGTTTTATCAAAGAGCTTCGATATGTGGACATGATAAGCTTATCTATTGGAAGTAGGATTAGTTCATATGTTTATGTATACCCATAGTAGTTTCGGTGCTGTACACGTGTCAGAGTATGATTAATCTTTTCAGAAAATCTTGTAATATTTTGCAGTAGTACCTCATGTTACTTTTGACATATTCCCCTGGTACAGTCCACGTGTTTTACGCTTACTCTTGGTGTATTATGGATATTGAGTTTGTCTTCCCTTTACGGTCGATTTCGTATAGAATTTCTGATAAAATAGACCAAAGCCTTAAATAAATATAAGGCAGGACATGGCATATATATATAAACTTGAACTCAATGTTATAGTTTCAATAAAATAGGACAGTATTAACCGATATAATGTTGCTTACTCATCGTTAGCGGAAATAAAAACTAAATTTACCTTTGATACTCGTACTCTTTTTAGATAGGTATACATTCATTTCATATAACATATGATATCCATAATTATTGCTATGTTGAGTTTACGATAAATTATTTTAAGTTTTCAGCTTGGCGTTCCATAGTGCTCGACTTCTAATCCAAGATTAACCGGAAACACGTCATCACTACTCAAGTAATACATTTTTCAGGGAAGCTTCCATAATATTTCTTACACACTCTTTTATAGCAGGGGATGATTGGTCAAAACCTGGCCTAGACGTTGTGGATGGTTTAGATGAGAAACTACATCAACTTAAACCAATAAAGAGTTCGAGCCATTCTGCGACAGACCACAGGGGAGGTAATCGTTACATCATTCAGTAATAACACCCGATGATCGGTTTTATATAATACTACAATATCCAATACTTTAGTATTTAATATTCATTGTGCCATTTCAGCCATACCCTACGATCCCCTGCTTTCAATATAAATCATGTTGATACCAAAGGTTGTTTACCTTATCTGGACTGTAACTCGCTCCTATTCACTTGCAATCTTTGGTCGATTCGCCTATGATTTACTAAAGACACCAAATCACCAGCGAAAATTGAAATAATGAATACCCGCACCTGGGACTCATATTTTAACACCTTTAATTTATAACTAAGCCAGGAATAAACATTTTGGGAGCTGATTAAAAAGGTATTATCATAAAGCCGGTTATTGGTCATGGCTGGTAATAAAACAACTGACGTTACAACCAAATTCATAATTAAAAGTATATAAACTAATCACGTACCTGCCAAAATATGATAGATACAAATAGCTAATTAGGGTATTGGTCAAGGATATTAATTACACTAATTGACCAAAAACAGCATAACGTGTATTTCTTATAAATAATCATGTCACAAACAGACACGGTGATTTATTACAGAGAACATTGGTAAAATATAATTAAAGAGAAAAATGAACCGAACATGCACCACCAGATGCTGTTTATACCTGAAGAGAGAAAATTGTTGTTTTGACTTCATTAATTTAGAAGAGCCGCACAAAAATAGTCCATCTGAGGTTCAGTGGAAATAAATGCCTTGCATTTGACTCATAGAACATCATCTAGCCAGCAGTTTTGGTTTATGGGATCACGAGGGGTTGTTAGATCGAGTGGTTTAAGGCGTGCGCTGTAGATCGTGTGTCCTCTCTATGACGCCAGTAATCTGCTTTCAATCCGACACTTATATTTGACATGTGGAGTTTGACCTTACTGCATGGGTTTTGTTCTCGATCTAGACTTCCCAGGTCTAAACTTAATATTTGAACTAAAATATTGCTGGTTGTCAATGCGCACCAGCTTGTTAATTAACCCAGTAACTCCATATTTTTAAATCAACGTCCACACAAAAATAAACGTGTAACTGGCGTCGATCACGTGGTGGAGTATAGTTACTGAGGTCAGGGTATTGAATTCGAAATAACTTTGGTTCCGAGACGTCAAAACTGTTTGTCCCATGTGACTATTAATACCGAATGGTGTCAGATATCCTTTCACAGTCTCATACAACAACTTTTGGTCTTCGAAGGAATTATTAGTGAGCAGAAATTCGCCCATGTATCTGTTACCACCCGTCACTTCAGTCCGTTATATAGAGGGATAACTCGTGTTTTCCTTTTGCGTTCGCCACTTCCGATTGTTGAAACATTGATTACTCATCTATCGTAGCAATGATCTCTGTGATAAAATAATATTTGGAACGTGTTTAACCAGTTCTATCACATATGTGATAATGACTGGCACCAATATTGTCCTTTAACACATTAGTCCGGCCATCTTGGGATAAACGCGAGGTTATTTTCTCCATGGTCACGTGTTCAATGTTAGAGAGGTGAGATCTGCCCAATCTTTATCGAATTGTATTTTGTTTATTCTTTGATTTTGTTTCGACGTTTATTTTATGCAATGGGCTGAATGACACGCTTTAAAATGGAAATTTTCAATTTCTCCTCATCACACAGTTCTGGAATTAGAGCGCAGCACATTCCTTTTATTTTCTCTTCATTCTGACCTGGTGATTGGATTTTTCTCCTTTTCTGTTAATTCCTATATGGTAACATGTAGCTATCGTGAGCAATATAATTGATTTTCAATATTGGATTCACTCCATAAAAGGAGGCAGCACACGTAGCGAAAGAACTAACCAGAGAGAGATTGGGGATGGTGGTTCACATCCTATATTGTATATCATGGTACTCTCCCCTTAATCATTCAAAAATATTGCAGTATGTTTCAGCTAAAAATAAGATGACTTTGACCGCGATGTTAACGAAATAATTAAATTTGATCATTTTCAGACTAACATTAGCTTAATAGCTCTTTTAAGTAATATCAGTGACGTAGAAAATATTAAAGGAATTGAGTAATCCCACCGTATTTTATATTAATTTAAATTGGAAACATTAGCTTAATAGCTCTTTTAAGTAATATCAGTGACGTAGAAAATATTAAAGGAATTGAGTAATCCCACCGTATTTTATATTAATTTAAAGGGCGCGGGATTGTTCGTTAATAATGTCAAATATATTTTGTGTATGTAACAATACAAATAGACATGCAACTGCACAAATAGTTAACACCTCTGAGTGCGGTGGTTATACATCCAACATACGAGTAATGGGTCGTTTTATGTGGCTCCAATGGGATAAACGTCCTCCGACGTTAGGGTAAGTTACTTCATAATAACTGAGAAAATCAACACCTACAGATTTCTAGATGAAATGAAATGAAATGGGGTTTAACGTCCTGAGGGAAATTTTGCCCGGGCAGCGGCACTACGGCCTACTCTTATATCGAATTCTAACTGCCAAGGGATCTTTTACGTGCACGCCAATGTGTACACGGGAAATCGGTTTTTCGTCCCATCCGAACGACTAGACAGCTGTCCTTGTCAGGCCCTCCGTTCTGCATCACTGACAAGGGGAAACCACGCCGGAAAATCTGGATGAACTTTCTCGGCCAATGCAGGGATCGAACACCCGACCTCCAGGCTAGCGAGCCAGCGTCTTACCACGTGATCCCCTTAACCGGAAACAAGTCATCGCTACTCAAGTAATACATTTTTCAGGGAAGCTTCCATAATATTTCTTACATACTTTTTTATAGCAGGGGGTGGTGATTGGTCAAAACCTGGCCTAGGCGTTGTGGATGGTTTACAACCAATTACCAATTCGAGCCATTCTGTGACAAAGACCACAGGGGAGGTAATCGTTTCATCATTCAGTAATAACTCCCGATCATCGGTTTTATATAATACTACAGTATCCAATACTTTAGTATTTAATATTCATTGTGTCATTTCAGCCATACCCTACGATCCCATGCTTTCAATGTAAATCATGGTCTTTGAAGGACAGAATTGGACGAACAATTTACCATACACTCTGGTTCACAGGCAAGATTTGTGTCGGTGAAATGACCAGCAATGACTCCTTTGTTCAATTTTTGTTTTATTTTTGTATTTGGCGCAGTATTTTATGACATTGACAACTAATGATTATTGTGTTACCCATGCAACGACGATCAATCCATCTTTCGTTTCTGTTTTGTTAGGTTGCGAAATTTAGGGATGACTAGCGACATTGCTGGAGGGATGTTAATAGGAGGGTGTGTGCCATGAGTTTTCTCAGATTGGGGGACAATATAAAGATAGGTGATATTGACCCCTTTATAATTTAGTTTGTGCACACGATGTCAGTTATCACTCAGTTCAACCACCGTATAACATCCCCTTTTGATTCACGCATAGAAAGTAGGGGTTACTCTCGAAATGATCGTGTCAATATTCATACCAATCTGGCCACCACTACACGTTACAATCTATGATTATTTATCGGTGAAGGAAAATCGCCCACAAATAATCCTCCGTGTGTACATCCCTTAAATGTAAACATTGTCGACCGGTTCATACAGGAACTATTGTATGTTATAGTTTATCACACCAGAGCGTAAAGCAAAGGGGTCTAAAAAGGAAAGAGGAAAGAGAAAAATGAATAAAAGATCTCGTAAGAAATGTAAAAGGCATCACCGTGTAGATGTATGTGGTAAGTTGTTTTTCTATAGCAAATTTTAGAAAAAAAATGATCATTCACTTTACTTCCGGTGATCTCAAAGGTACACAAAGGTCAATATGGCTACCGGCTTTAATAATATATACATCGCTTAAGGTTACCTTTCCAATGGTTTGACACTTGTGTGCACTATGACTATTGTACGTATGAGGTTAGCTGATATTATTCTGCGATGTTACACAACGACAATGTTTCTGTGAACTGCTATAAACCTATGAGGGGATGAGTTTGGCGTTTTATTGAGTGTTTTGATATCATTTGGTATCCGTTGTTTTTATTTTACCAGCACCTGGCTCTTCATGTCTTCTTCTTGGGAGTGACGCTCTTCAAAAAAGCGGTACCTCTCCGTTAATTCACGTACGATCGACACGAAACTTGGCAATCCTTTCCTTGGACAATCGCGCATAGATTGACTGAGTTAGATTTCAGATATGACCTTACCATCCCTAGATGGTGGCGATGACGAGAATCGATTATAATTTAAGTCCCACATCCACTTTATTGACATCAACTACTTTAATATAACATTTTGTTAATATCAAATATTGGTTTCAAATGCTATTTCACTATCTAATCGGCCTACGAAAGATCAACTAGGTTATGTTTAATACCTAGCTCGTCGATGGAATTGGATGTAAAACTGACACCCCCAATAATTCCGTCGTCGACTGCTACGAATAACCCGGATATGGTCTGGTGTGGAAGTCTAATAGAATGGGCACTATCAAGTGTGAGTGTGACACATTAATACGAAATTATGGTATGACATATCCGACAAAATGTCACACTGCTTTTTAAGACTATTACACATCTTGATAACGTGGGGTCGCCAGATTAACATTTTGACAAATAATAGAAAAAGAGACGAAAGCATTTTCTAATATATAGTGGGTTTGTTGGTATACATTTCAGATATAAAACTGAAAAGAAATGGATGGCCAAAAGATAACATAAACGCGGTATTTGGCTGTCGTGTTCGACTAAGAAAATGTATAAACAACTCTCTTTTTCCCGACACCTGGAACAGAATTAAGGTAAATGTTAAACAATGTAGCAATTTTAATTTGATTGCCGTAGAAAAGAATTAAGTGGGAACTGAGGTAGCTACGTGAGTCAAGGTACTGTCTCGCTAACCTGGTGGTCCCAGGTTACATCGCGGCGTCGAACCGCGACAGTTCCTTGGGATATCTCGGCGTGGTATCCCCTTGTCAGCATGTAGTCGTTCGGATGGGACAGAAAATAGAGGTCCCGTGCGCACGTTTACTTGCACGTAAAGTAATCTTTGATAGTTGCTGTTCTTTGCAAAATTATACTCATAGCTCAATGTGCGTCTTCATTATTCCTTTAAACTGTTAAATATCGAAAACACGTCAATATTATGAACAAAACACAGAGCAGTGATTGTTATGTTTTAAATGAGTGAGTGAGTTAATACACGGATAGATGGATGAATGGATGAACGAATAAAGAAAGGATACAATAATAGTAACATAGAATCATAAATAATATAAATATAGCCCCATTATGATAGTTTACAACTGTATGTTATCGTATGTCTTCCTCTCTGTGATGAAACATCAGGTTATCTTAAGATTGTATAGATTTAAAGTGAAATATTATGGGTCACTTATCATTTTACAGTCAGATAAACCAAAAAGACCAATGTATGAAAAAAGAAATGTAAGCCTGGATGATACAGGTTTATACGGTGATGTTTATCTTAATGTTTCGGGTAAGTTTAATGCCTCTTCAACAAAAGAAGTGCATTAGTTATTTTGTTTTACTTAGATCACTTCATCCACTTTCCCATGTCCCTGGTGAAAAGGGGGGTTGGATGGCCGAATGGTTAGCACGTGCACGCTATATCACGAGGTCTGTCATTGAGTCAACTGGCGTGGTTTCGAATCCCCGGTTGTACGTGACAAGGAGTAGGGTTGCCTGTCCAACCTCGTGAGTTTTCTCCGGGTCCTCCGGTTTCCTCCCACTGCAAAAGACCCTTACGCGCAAGCGAATTATTGAAATAAAATTAAAACCATATGTTAGTCCCGAAATGACCTAGTCTGTGTCGAGTGGACGTTAAACCCCATTTCTCTTTCTCTCTCTCTCTCCCGGGTGAAAATGGTGTTCGGTCCCATCTGAACAATTTGCCAACAGACAACAACGCTCACGAACATTAAAATAAAAATGTTTACTATGCTTAAAATGATTAGATCTCGTTCATATAAATGTTCCAAAATTGAACAGTTTTGCGAATGGGGTGTCTGTCTACGTTTAAACTACTAGGTCAACAGATATTGGCAATATTGAGCAATCGACAGTTGAAGTCAAAACGAAAATTACATATCAATTAATATTTCAAACCAAAAGTATAATTTTGTCCAATAACTAATCGAAATAAAACATCATATCAACCCACTCCAATACTTTTGTTGGCTCGAGTCAGTGAGTGAGATGTGTATCCTAATTCAATCCGCTACTCATCGATGATCTCGTCATTTTTACCACACTTTATTCTAGAATTTCGATGGAAAAATGATACTATCCAGTTTATAAAGGTTCGCCTGGGTGGTACTGTAGTTATGGAATGGGAATTTGAAACACCATCCGTGGATATGAAGGTTTATGTTCACAGGGAAAATCGCACAAATGTAAGTGAAGTTTAATCTCGTTACCAAGAGTCGAAATAAATGGGCTCGCGTCACCCCATCTTCATAAGAAGGGTTGGTCTCGCTGTGACACTATCCTGTGTCGCTGTACCCAAAAGGAATTAGCTGTGACACTATCCTGTGTCGCGGTACCAAAAAGGAATTAGATGTGACACTATCCTGTGTCTCGGCGACCAAAAAAGGAATTAGATGTGAAACTATGGGGACAGATGGTCGTCTAGGACCTGCTTGGACTTCACGTTGTTGTATCAATTATTTCAATCATCAATTAATTGACTCTGGAACACCGTTTATGTTGTCACTAAGTTTATCTAACGAATACAGCAAACTACAAAGGTTACATACCCGAAACTACAATATCTATGATAGTTACTTTTTGAGTAAATTATCCACGGTCTGGATGGTGTGTTCACCCTAGCCTCTAAGCCGAGGAGGCTATAGGTATGTTCCCCTTGAGCTCCGAATGATTGTCTGAGGATAAAATAAAACCCGCTCTATAATATATAGAAGTATAATGCATTAGCTTTTAGGGTGGGACAATTACCATTTTTGGGTACGCGTTTCATATAGGCACCGTTTAACGTCAACATTATTCTAGTTAATTGTACTACTCTGTGCACGAGAGGACTGGACGATAGTACCCTACTTTCCAGAAATGGGTACTGACATAACTGGGGGTGAGTTAGTCTAAGTCTAGACTCTCAGTTAGTAGTAGGATAATGCAAGCTACTTCATTACCCTAGTTTTCGTTACGCATCATGTAGGTAAAGATTTCTATATTAAACAGAACACTTTTCTTAGACCTAAAATAACCCTATAGTGTTATATCGCTTTAAGTCTGTACATCTTCACGTAATACCCTGCATATTTCATCATTAATGTCGACTGTCTTCTGACTCAGCTTGAGCCCCACTCAGACTCTTCGATAGAAAATATCATCTCTGGCTTTCCAGCTAAAATGTATACCTGTGATAACCGAGTTTTTGGTTTAAGGTTCGTTCAATGTCAAGTTTCCCGTGGAGGTTGCCATGTTTGATCTGAGTGTGTCTGTGTCACAACCTCTGATTGGAAAACGATATTTTTCGCGTGTTTGCGGTAAAGGGGGATAACGTTTCTATAAGTTCGGGAATGTCAACCAAATCTAACAACGACTAGATGTTGTAAAACTCGCGGTCGTTGTTCAGGAACATGTCGTCACCCGGAAAACTGTCAAAGTTAGACGGCATATTTCTAATTTCCTCTTCCCGGAAATATTTATTATCTTGTATTTACTGCATATACTCGAAAATTTCCCTTCTCTATGGTCCATTGTGCAGTGAAGGCCATTGAAAGTATTTATGTAAAAAACTAAATTTGGGTTTATATACAGAATATTTGGTGACGCCGTTATTTTATTTTGTAAATGTCTCTAATATAAAGTTTGTTTTCTTACAGAAAAAAAAAATATATATAGCGGAAGTCGATAAGAATTGTGGGAACATGCATATCAATTTAACCAGAAGTGGTGAAACTCAGAAAGTTACCTTTACAATAGACAATACAACAATAGAAGATCTTAACTTTAATTATGGCATAACTGTACAATTCAGTGGTACCTGTATTATGGTTAGCCCCTTGATAAAGCTTATTGAAGGTATACAGAACTAACCAATATGAATTTCGAGATTCCGATGCTGATCGCTTGTCATTTTTAGATTTATAAAATACTCTTTGGTCATGCGTGATAGTTAAACGTATTCTTGATATATATTATGTATTAGAATAAATAAAGTATATATCCACAATATAACACTCGATTCGACTACCATTTCTCTGCAAAGTCCAACGAAACGGATTTGTGTGAATTTCTTGAGACTTGATCATACAAGCCTATGGTATATCTCCTCCGAATATTGGTTTATGATTGAAAAGCGCCCAAACGAATATAGTCAAATCATATTCCGAAGTTCTTCATTGACAATACAACCTTTATAGTTTTAGATGTAATGGATTTTACTCTTTTATGATCTAATTGCAATTTTGTTTCGTTTAGACTTTGATTTTGTTTGGCTGCCGAGTTCCGACACAGTGAACATAGAATTTGAACAAAGTGTAGAGTTATTTTGGTCATACAAAACACAACGATCTCCTACCAGAATTATACTTAAACGGAAAAGCGACATTAAGGTATAAGATGACCGTTTATTTCAAAATCACTTTATTACGAAAGAATATTAGGAAACGTGTTTTAGAGAAAAGGAAAACCAATGGTTGTTTTGAGGTGTTGACGAAAGGTTAAATATGAGTAACCCTTCTTCTTCGTCTTTGATCGACTCCTCTTAATAGCCCTAAATCAGTCCGTCGATATTTTCGAAATACACTTCATTGCTTTCTCCCCGTGTTGATACCAAAGTTTGTTTACTTTATCTGGACTGTAACTCGCTCATGGTTGTGGGGCTTAAGGTATGTCTAAAATCCTATTCACTTGCAATCTTTGGTCGATTCGCCTATAATTTACTGGTTTACCCCCCCCCCCCACCCCGCCACCACACACACACACACACAGATCGTGAATTGAATAGTGATCTCACTATCCTATAGCAGGATCTTTCTGAGAATACCCTTACCGCATGACAGGGTATCGGACGACATAGTCAAAACCACTGGATTTCTTTTACTTTTTATGTTTATATTACATTTCTAATAATTATTATTATTTTCATTTTTTTTAGAAAGAAAGGGTAGGAATATGGACATTGGCTAATGGATTTCAAACTGAATTAAATATTTCAACCATTTTTAGTAAAACGGTTATTTATAATTCTAACATCACCGATGGGTTTATTTACGAAACAGTTGGTCTTAAATTATCGGAAGTTAACTTGGAAGATATCCGCGTTGTCTACTATTGCCGTGTCATCTATGGGATGGAATATAGATATACCAAATACGTAACCTTAATACATGCAGGTAATGTCATAGCATAGTGTTGGCGGGTAACAAAATATGCCCACAAGCAGCTTTTACAGAGGAGGCAGTAATAATCTGCTCCAACGACATCAATGCATAATACTCTGTAATTTAGAATCTTTACACGGATTCAGGGTTAGGAGCTGTAATTTAAATAAATGCACCCTGTTGAGTAGGCGTCTGACTAACTTTTTATAGGGTTCTTTTTAGTGACTAGTAGAGTTTATAAGATTTTGATGACACTATACACAATTATGTATTTATAAATTGTATACCCTTTAGCTGTTCGTTTTTACCTTATTTTTTAATCACAAAACAACAATCCCAGACTTTACATATCAACAAATACAATAAAATGGTACGCTTACATTATGTATAGTGCAATACAGCCTAAGTAGACCTAATAATAAGTGCATGTAAATAAATTAGAAATTAAGGTCAAATCAAAGATTTACATGAACCACTGTCTTGGTTGAAAAGCTCTCTATCAGGGTATTTCATGAAGAAAATAAAAATAAAATGAAGCAACAAAGTGGAACAATGCGGACCCGTAAAGTTATTGCACATTTTTAATTGTCGAATGCTTAAATGTCGACAAACGCCCTTGTAAATTTTGTAAAAACACAAATACCCTATACTATCTCTAATTTGAATATTTTATAGTGTAATTTGAAAAAAAACCAAAAAACACTGCATTAGATGCTTCAGTTAAACAATTATTTTTTTTGTCTTACATCTAATAGAATCTACAACAATTAATGTTTATGATGAGGTTATACCAGAAAAGAAGAGTTTAATAATCTTATTGGTCAGCATGGAATCAGCAATATGTATACTCTTGGTGGTGTTCCTAATAGTAACAATAATATTATTTTTTTGTAAGTATTAGCATTGTTATAAATGAATGAATGATGTGAAATGAAATTTAACGTCCTTCTTGTATGGGCTAATGAAGATGGGTATACGCCATAGGGGAGATTTTTCCCAAACAGCCTACTCTTATTTCGAATTCCAACTGTAAATGGTACTTTTACGTGCACGCCAATGTGTACACGAGACCTCGGTTTTTCGTCCCACTCGAACGACTGTACGTTGTCCCTTGCCAGGCCCTCCGTCCTACACCAGTGACAAGGGGAACCACGCCGGAAAATATCGATGAATGTTCTCGACCCACGCAGAGATCGAGCACGGGACCTCAAGATTAGCGAGCCAACGTTTTTCCCACTGAGCCACCGCGGCTCCCAATTTATTAAATAAATGGTTTATCCATATTTATCTGATATCTTGGGTGTTACTTGACTTACTGCATATTCAGTGACGCATGAACCAAGCATTTCTTTATTTTCCTCCTTCTGTGCCTTTTGTTCAGTAAAGGGTTATTACATCAATTTTAAAGTAAGAAATTGAATTGAACCCGACGGAGAAACGAATTGAAACACAAATGCAAAAAATGAAAAAAAGGTATGAGTATATACACACACCGCTCTTTGTATAATATATTCATATCTTATTTCATTTTATTTATTTGTGTTTTATATGCCCGATAACGATTCGTAAAATCTTGTTAAAACGTCGCAGTGTAATAAGCCATAGTAATTATTATTAATAGCGTTTTAAATGATTGTGTGCCACTTACTAAATTTCATTCAAAAAATATAAAAGTATGTATTTTAAATAAGACATCAAGTCGTTACAGATTTTTAAAATATTTATTTTGCATTGTCAAGAATTAAACTGGTTTCCACAATGCACAACCCAGAGTACAAATCCTTCCATGAATATATTAACATGACGGCTATTACGGTATGAGGGGATTTGGCGGACAGTGTAAATAAACACAAAAGCATACTCTTCGTATTCTGTAAATACGCTGTAAAAGCATCATAGCACGTATTTTAATACGAATAGCGGAGCTTCAAAGTGGGCGTGTTAATTTGTTAAGTAAATTTGACATCGTGTTGAGCATTGCTGGAACTTTTAAAATATTAGATAAACGAACAAAATATAAAAATTACTATCCTATCTGCAGCTTTCTTTTTGTTGGACATGCACATCATTTCTCGTAAAGCATATGTCTCATTTTTGCAGGCATAAAATACACGGGATGCAAATCCAAGAAGCAAGCTTGCCAGAATCAGATGATACCAAGTGCGTACAGTAAATATCACGTGACTATAGAAAAGGAATCAGTCCCGTTTTGTAAAAAACTGTGTTGGTTAGGACATTATAAAATGACACAGGATGAATATCACAATTATGATGAAGAACTACTTTAAGGGAGGCAACCCTTGTACCACAATTTATAGAGTAATCACCCTTAACATTCTCACAAATTTCATTTGGTAAAGATATGAATGGTGAATATTATCAACGCTATATGTAGCTTATTCAGTGGAGACGCGGGTCGGGGGGGAGGGAGGGAGAGAGAGAGAGAGAGAGAGAGAGAGAGAGAGAGAGAGGTGGGGTTTAATGTCCACTCTACACAAACTAGGTCATTTTGGGTCTAATACATGGTTCACTTTTATTTCAATAATTCGCTTGCGCGTAGGGGTCTTTAGCAATGGGAGGAAACTGGAGTACCCTGGAAAACCCATGAGGTTGGACAGGCGACCTTACTTCTTGTCACGTACAACCGGAGAATCGAAACCACGCCAGTCGACTCAATGGCAGACCTTATGATACAGCGCGCACGTGCTAACCATTTGGCCATCCAACCCTTCCGCCCCCGCCCCCTCACACACACGCGCGCGCGGGAAAGTCTCCGCCGGGGTGTTGGGTAGTTTATTTTTTTAAAATTCAAGGCTAAAATCACGGATCGTGCCCAAGATAAGGAAATTGGTTATCAGAAATGATAGCATCCGTCAGGCAAATCGGGCTTGGATATAGCCAGCCTTGAATTAGATGTAAAACCATTAATTTTTTTAATTTTGGCGATCCTACACATACAAAAGTCGAATCGAAACCCCGAAGATTGAATTGATGATATACCTCGTGATCTTTAATCACCTCCACCCCACCCTCAAATTAATATGGCACGTTGACAAGATAGCATAACACTTAAAAAGATATAATAGTTTGATCGTGAGGAAGATATCATGGCCATTTGAGAAGATACTATTTTAACAAGACAAGACACCCAGTTAACAACATAAGACAGCTACGGTGTTTTATATTGGGCAATCAGAGGAGTAGGTGCGCGTTGGATCACAAGGTCGATCATTGAGTCAAGTGGCGTGGTTTCGATTTCCCGCTTATACGTGATAAGGAGTAGGGTCTACTGGCCACCCTCCTGTGCTGAAGACCCATAGCTACTATATTTTATTTTAGTCTCGAAATTACCAAGTTTGTACCAGTGGACGTTAAACCCCATTTCTTACTCTCTCTCTCCGGTGCATTATTGTCGATAATAATGTACGGTAGGCCTATAAGTAAATCTCTATGTAAATAGGTAGATCTATCATAAGTAGATTAGAACACCACTGCCATTTAAGAGTGTAAAACGATAAAATAGATAATCGAGACTATTTAATCGAGTCAGATTAAAGTAATTTGACTGAAATTTTCCATACATTCAATTTTCATTACCGGCTTTATCTATTTTTGTACTATTATATAATCTTTAAATAAACGATTATAAGAACGTAAATTTACATAATTAATATGTGTTCATAACCAATACTCCATATTCCTGAGCAAAGACCCGAGAAATCTCCCTCTGACCATTGCTAGATTGACTTCTGATACTTGAGCTTTTGAGGGAGTGTGTCTATTCTTCCCGTTAAATCAAATCTATCCCAAGTGCAGCAATATAACAGCCCTTCGTTTAATCTGGGGTGTTCCTTAAAACTTTGGTCAGTGATTTAAGCTATTAAAACCGGTGAAAGTATTGTTTGTCTCCAAATAGTATCGTTATACTATATCCGTTTTGATAGCCTCGTTTGTCACGCAGTTAGTTTTTCTGCAATATTCTGCTATGCACTGGTTAATTGGGCGTAATAAAATCGTGAGTCTTGACGTAACGTTATGTAAACATATTTGGTCCAATTTGGAGCTCTGTTTAAAGCGTAATGATATTGTTACGCAATTAGCTATTGGTTGTTAATCGGACTATTGACTAGTCATAATTTGGAACAAAATTTGTTTCCATTACAGCAGTGTTAAGTGGGATTAGCTCTAATCAACCGAAACACTGCGAGGAGTATGCCAACACCTATGGATGCCAGTCTTGAGTCAAGTGATGAGCCGTCACCGATACAGAGAGAGAGAGAAATGGGGTTTAACGTCCACTCGACACAAACTAGGTCATTTCGGGACTAACATATTGTTTAATTCTATTTCAATAATTCGCTTGCGCATAGGGGTCTTTAGCAGTGGGAGGAAACCGGAGGACCCGGAGAAAACCCACGAGGTTGGACAGGCGATCCTACTCCTTGTCACGTACAACCGGTCACCTATACATATTAAGCACTCGAAACATGTCCCAGTTATAAATTAATTATAAAGATAACTCCTGTGAAGTCATAACTCTACATTCCATTGCTCCTTTGTTTTGTCCTTGCATATCTTCAGAAAGCTATTTGTTGGCGCATATTCGTCATTTAAAATAGGAGGATTGGATGGCCGAATGGTGCGCGCTGTATCATAAGACCTGTCATTGAGTGAACTGGTGTGGTTTTGATTCCCCAGTTAGTACGTGACAAGGAGTAGGGTCGCCTGTTCAACCTCGTGGGTTTTCTCCGTGTCCTCTGGTTTCCTCCCACTGCTACAGACCCCTACGCGCAAGCTTACTATTGAAATAAAATTAAACCATATGCTAGTCCCGAAATGACCTAGTTTGTGTCGAGTGGACGTTAAACCCATTTCTCTATTTAGGCAAGACTAAGATAGTTTTAGCGACCCGTTTGTTAAACCACTTGACAACTTAAACAATTGAAAGACTCATAATTAATATATATATATATATATATATATATATATATATATATAAATTGGTCAGTTTTTGTATCTCCAAAATTAGTTATCTTCATTTTCTTGGAGATATTGATAATATATATTCCTTGTAATTCTAGTCTAAACCACCCATCCTCCTCTCTTTTCGTTTATAAAACTTATGTTTCGTTGGCTAATAAACTGTCACATGCATATGTTCCCCTATCTTTCATATACATAATGATGAAATAATCGTACAAAAAATGATGTATCTATGATTGAATTTTATACTAGAAAATAATTGATAATGAGCTATAATCCTGTTAAATAACTAATAAATGATGGTATATACATACTATGATTGAAATTTATACTAGAAAATAAATGATAATGAGCGATAACTCTGTTAAATAACTAATAGTCTTCCAATAATGTAAACATCAGAAAGTAGTTGAAAATAAGTGATAACCCTGATAAATAACTAATAATTATATACAATACAGTAAACATCGCAAAATTGGGAAATTTTACATCAGTAATTAATTATCATACTAATATACTAATATTTCGAAAATTTATAGGTTTTTCGATGTTACGATTCGGATCTGGGTAACTGGCTGAAAACACATACTACAAATATTTAGCACAATCTATCAATTTGTTGGCGAAACACAGAGATGATAGTGGTGGCTTCGCGTAATATTCGACAATATTGCAGATTATTTTAATTTACAAACAGGATGTCTTTTGAACTTTAATCGTGTACTTTGTGTTTAGGGGAAGTACGATAGTAAAGACAACACTGGATGGTTTATGAATAATTTAATTTCTAGTTTTATATTATTAGTTACAACCATGAATAAACTGAAATGCAAAATGTTATGCCTTAGAGTAACAACTTTAACTCTTTGGATTTTCATTGATAAAAGTCAACCGACGTTTGCGTCGTCATTGAAGACTTAAGAATCTTGTTCAGAATAAATCAGAATTAAGGGGACTTTGATTGATCTTGGTATTGGGGAGATTTGAGCTACGCTGAATTTCAAACCACTAAACGACATTCTCGAACCTCCGCCATAATTCTGATCATGATAAAGCCTGATTACCTCCCTTTAACTTTGAAGTTTTTTTTTTATTTCTCCAGACATGCTTCTGAGTAATGTGCTAGGTTTCCACTATCACAATTCGTGCTACGATTGAAATCGTGGAGTAATCGTGGTGAACCTATCAGATCTTATCATATATTGAGGTCAGTCGTAGCAATCGTGTTGATCGTATCCAAACGTATCCGAACGTATCTGCACGTAACAGATCGTGGACTCAATAGGAACAATACTTTCGTAACGCATCGCACGATAGTGGGAACCTAGCATTAGCAAATACAGCAGGGTGGATTCGAACAGAAGTATGTCTTATTTAAGGATACAGTAATTCGACATCCACGCCAAAGGTTTTTTATCTGTTCTATGTTATTAACTCTAGTACAATCACACCCAGTTCCATCATCTGACCTTTAATAGAAATCTTGTTGGTAGTCTCTATCATCCAAAATGAAATGAAATGAAATGGGGTTTAACGTCCTACTGTTCTGCTCCTAACCTGGGCTAGAAAAATATTCTACGAATATTAGTCTGGATAGGTTGTCAACATTTGGAAATAATAGGTCATTGGCTAGAGTATTTGAAGTCTTTTATATTATCGTGAACAAAGTCAAAGGGGAGTAACTAGTCCTAAAACAAGATGTCGACGCCCATAAAATTAATTTAAGAATTAAAAATTGCCATTTCAGAAAATCCATCTGCATTGCCAATTCAATATCCAACACTCTTAAAAAAAATTATTGTAAAATTTCTCTCTTCATGGGCCATATCTATTTTTTTTATAATAAATCCTAATTCGTCGTCATGTTTCATGTTTGTTTATAAATAATGCATGAATTATGGGATTTATTTTGGAAAGGCAACTCTTACTTGATTTGGCCAAATAATACTGGATAATCAACCACATAAAATACCAAACTCTCGGTTACTCATGGGCAATGGAACTTTTCGTCAAATATTGACAACGGTCTCAGACCCTCCGTACGTTGAAGACTGGGGTTCTGCGTGACCGAGACTATCTTATTGGTAGTTTACTTTTAAATCCATGTTTAGACTCTCAATCATAGGGAAAATCCATATCCAAATCTATCCCATGCGTGTGTCAATTAGACTCAACCATATCTCTGATGAAAGCATCAAAGCGCATCGGTGTTCACATATTCCTGAAGCAGTGGCCATAGAAATTTCTCTCGAGCGTTCATCGAATTCTTTATGATAAAGTATGGTGACGTCACACTGGCTTTCAATTTTTTTTCCGCCAAAATGGATGATAATTTTATTTTTATATATAAAAATGTTCATATTTTTTTCCCGCCAACTGGAATATTTTATCTGCCAAAATTGTGTGATAAAAAAGACAACATCTAACAATTTTATGTCTCAGCTATGCTTATTTTAATAAACCTAGCTGAGACATAAAACCGTTAATTGTTTTATAATATTAAAATATTATAAAAAAATTATAAAACAATTAACAATATATAGAATACAATATACAACAACTTTAAAAATCTGTCTGTATATAATACATTAGCACAGTTTGGATTTAATAAGGTCAGATTTTTGGGGGTGACTTTAGTCTATTTGAACACCGTACTGCAGAATATATTTTCAGTATTTACACGTTAGATCTCATTCAAGGATTGCCAATTTTCTATATATTTATGTGTTGCGTGTACAATAGGCCTATAGTTATTTTCAGGTACCGTAAAGGTATTAGAATCTGAATCCCTGATAGAATGATATAAATTTCAATTATATTTTTGTAAGAGATGCTTACAATTATACCCATCGTTCACCTTTAGATCATTTTGGCGACGGTAATAGGATACATATGGCGAAATGATTTCTCGCTCAAGAATCGTCGCTATTCAACTCGTTCTTACGTTTTCGACCAGTGGTGATAATATAATTTGAAATAATGATATCTGATAGGCATGCTTGTATGTCTTACATGACGTATATGAAGCCACTGGAAACGAATTCAGGTATCAAAATATTTAATTCTCTTCGAAAGGAACTGTCGGCCATTTTGATTGCATGTATTAACATTTTTTTAGGACGAAACGAAACATCAAATAATCACCGCTTTGATTAATCATTAGGAGTAAATAATGACTTGAGATAGGTTTTATATACATCATTGGCAATTATCAATCAACTAATCATTAATCCAAGACAACTGATTAGTATTACTCATTGACGTAATCCGGGTTATCAGCCAGTTGATTAATTTATAGTATTCCGCCACGTGATTGACACTATTAATGGTTAATCCAGGATAAATACGATTAGAATTTTAAGATTTTTTTCCGCCAGTTCTCAAAAAGAATCGCCAGTACCGCAAAACATTATCGCCAAAATTATCGCCAAAATCAAATTTTAATCGCCACTTTCATATTTTTATCGCAAATTGCGAGTTTGGCGACCGACAGTGTGAGCCCTGCACTGGCGTGTAAAGGGCAAGTCGCACAGCCTTTGAGTACTCAATAGATTCCAAATAGACAAAATTACGTTAATAATTTAATTAAAAATTGATCACTGAAGTTTCATAATTAGATGATTAAATTTCTACTTGAATGGCAAATCAGAAATGAGGTAGGTTAATGATTATAATTAGGACGATATAATAGGCTCTGTGATTTTCTGGCATACTTATCTGAAATATCTAATATAATAATGTAAGTACGTGGCCGTAGGATACGTGTATATATTCTATATCTATCTAGTTTTGTAGATGAAGTATGGACGGAAATAACAACAATTGTTTTATTCCGGTGATTCACTGAAACCCGTAACCCTTCGACACCCGTCATATGATAAATCATCTTTATACTTAAAGGCACATCAACACATCTACTTAGTGGACGATAACCCGACATGCGTTTGAATTCAGTCCACGAAAATAAGTCTCCTTTATTTAGGTTAAAATAAAATATTGGTATTTAGCTGATATGATATGTCATTTCGATTAGCCACAGGCAATAATTGGTTGAACGAGGTCTTGTCAGAAATTTGTTTAGAATACAGTCTAAAAGTCTACCAAAAAACAAACGAACTAATCTATTTTAAATAATACAGCTCACTTATAAAACGAAACGAAATCCTAGCTTTAATATTAGAATAATGTTTCTGTTAATAGTCAGTCTACACTACAGTCTCTACAGTTACTAAATGGTGTCATTATAGAATCAACGGTAAATTTTACGTCCACGCCAAAATTTACATGGAACCTAGATTTTTCGTCCCATCCGAACAATTGGCGGACATCAGGAAAAACAATAACGGTTTAAAATTGACGTCACACAACAATGTAATTGTGATAGCCGGCCTTTAATTAATTATTTTAATAACACCATTATGTCGTTTAAATTATAGAGAAAAGTGGGTGGCGCATCAGGATATAATTTTCTGCGAATCTTGTACTCTCAAATAATTTCATTATTTCAGTTTATATAGACTGTTTTTTTTAAGAGATGCATACAATTTATTCTGTAGTTCTAGAACTGTTCAACACGACTTAAACACTGGACAAAAAAGATTATACTAAATCAAGGACATTGAATAGTTTCCGATACGAGGTATTTATTTCAATTAAATTATTCTTTTATGTTATGTTATTATAAATAAATAATTGATTTTCCTATTATATACATTTAACTTTCTTTAATACAAAGGATAGATCAGTTACCTTTTTTCGACGATTACCCCGCGTTTTGATCACAATGTTTGTTTTAATTGTTATTTAATTATCTCCTATAAGAACAACTGGCCAAAATTACAGATAATTAAGCCCGAACAAATATCTTTGAAATTCACAAATTAATCAAGAATTTTGAGAAAAGTGAGAAAAAAAACGGGTCGATTTCCATTCAACAAAAATACCACAATATAGCGTTAGCGTTGTGAACTCCGTACATGAAAAGTGGTATCATGTGTTATTGAAACCGTATGTAATTAAACATAGTTGTCCATAGTGTATTCGTGTACAGTTGGGTCTATGTTTTGTTGGACTGTTCTTATAGGGCTGTATTTATATTATTAATCAAGAATCATCCAAATATCCAAATATGTCGCAGAACCGTAAACATATATTATGTCGCCAGTCGCCAGTACAAAACGTCGATTTGAAAACATATCCATGTTACTGGGAAAATATGATCAAAATATTATCTCACAAAGTACTTCAGGAGAAGTTCAATTTACTCTTCTTTAATTTTAACATAGTCACCATTATGACGTAATATATATTCAAGATGATGGACAAGTGAAGTAATGGGCCTTGTGAAAATGGTTAATAATGTGAAATAAATAATTTGTGTAATTTATTTTGGGTTTGCTTGGAGAATATATATTTAAGATTGGGTTGATTTTTTTGGTATTTTAGTGTACCAGATCAATGAAAGGACTTTCATCTTGGGTATTAAACCGATCCACGACACCATTTTGTAAACAGAATAAAGGAAAGGCCAACTCTAATTTAAAAAAGAACTAAAGGTTGAAATAATTTCTTCGGGAATCATCTGGATCTGAATATCATCTTATTAGCATATAGTGAACTTTTAGAATTTTTTTTATTCCTTGGCTTCTGTCAAAATTATTCCATCTGAGGTTTTAGACAAACAATGGATTTAATAATTGATATCGATTCGGTGAAGGACAATGTAAATTCATCTTTTAGTCATACCGTAGTTAATTCTACAAATGCAGACGGTTCGTTTCTAAACTCGACAGTTCCTGACGATAGTATTACATCAACAATTTGGTCTGTCGTCGAAGTAAACGACTCCTTAGTAACGGAATACGATTCAACACCTACTACGCCATTTTGGAGTGATAACTCTACAAATTCTAATAACAAAATGGAGTACCTCGAGGAATTAAGTCGTAAAACAGCACTAGAACAATGGCCGGTGATAAGTTATATCGGAATCTTGATGATTGTAGGATTGGTGGGAAATTTGTTGGTTCTTTACGTCCATTTGTTCAAATTCAAACGGAGTTCTACACGGACATTTGTGGTATCTCTTGCCTGTTTCGATGTACTCAGTTGTGCCATAGCAATGCCGGGTGAAATATTGGATATTCGGTTCGGATTTGATTATCCGAGTGCCGTGTGCTGTAAACTTCTGCGCAGTATTACAAGTTTCTGTTCGATATCTTCCGGTTTTACCCTAATGGCCGTGAGTTACGACAGGTACAGAAGAATCTGCAATCCCTTAAAAAGGCAAATGGGTCACAAGAAAGCCTCCATGATGGTTTTTGTAGCATCAGCAGCTTCACTCTTCATAAGTTGGCCACTGGCGTTGTTAAGCGGCTATAAAACAGTGGAAACGAACAATCCAAATATTACGGGGATCGAATGCTCAGTCAGTGATAATTATAGAAAATCAAAGTTTCCTCTCATATACACTATCTGTTTGTTTCTGGCATTTATGTCAGCTTTTGTCGTGATGACAGTTTTCTACTCTCTGATTGGTCGTCAAGTAACAAAACAAAGTGCGTTTAGAAAAAGCGTCACCAGTAACCGACAACGCAACCGGACAATCAGCAGTAATATTTCGGATTCGGACAGAAACGGTCACAGAATTAGGAAAATAAGCTCCAATTCTATGGGAGGAATCGCCATTGAAGAGAACCAATATTCTTTCGAAAACGAGTCCGATTACTCCATATCGTATCCAAGCAAACGAACTTTGAACCGTAAGTCTTCTTTACGCAGTATCAATAAGATCACCAAGAAGATGCCTGATGATAACAGAACACGAAAAATAACCATGATGCTTTTCCTCATCTCTTTGGTTTTTCTGCTCAGCTTCATGCCGCACTTGATTTTAAAAGCCATACAAGCTCTTAATAAAGGTTTTGCTCAAAGTACCACCCTTGCCGCTGTAATACTCTATAACATATTTGTGCGGTCTTTTTTAATAAATTCAGTTTCAAATGCCTTCATATACGGATTCTGTAGTCCAAGGTTTCGTAAAGAGTGTAAAGATTTATTTAAGAGAATAATAGCACGGCGTAGAACATTTTCTCTGAATTCCAATAGTTTAAATTGAGATAAAAACAGGCACAAAATACTAAATCAGAATTAATTAAACATTATGCAGATTCGGGATGTGGATTAACCTTTCCACAATGGTCTTGTACATATTGTTTTTCTTGTGATAACGTGTCAGAAATAGGAAATGACAAATTGTATTCAAGTGACAATTCAAGTTTTAATAAACATTTAGGGGAATAATCTACATGTACCTAACGATCGGTATAGATTATGTACACTATATAGTAAATAAAATAAAACCATGCACGAATAATCCAAACCATTAGACAAAATTCGAAGTCCTATAAAAACGGTATAGGCAAAATAGTGTTATAAGGCAAAATAGTGTAATCAGCATATGGACTGTTCACCGTGTACAAAATACACGACAAACAGTGGTAACAGGTGCCCGGAAGAGTAAGCTTACCCTGCCTGGCGCCACATAGCTGCACCACTATATAGACTACACGTGACCTTGTTTTGTTGTGGGTTTTTTTTTCACCATCTTGACAATTAGAAATGAATTGTAGAGCATATATTTTGTTTCAAAAAAATAATTGAATTATTTACTATTTTTTGTATTAGATATTTATGCTGTATACTTTTGTATTTGTAGAAACGTGTTGTATACTTTTGTATTTGTATAAATGTGTTGTATATTTTTATAGTTGTATAAACGTGTAAATATTTGACGCACTGTCCTCTTGAGTTATATTTTCATGTTGGCATGGTCGTCTTATGAATGAAATGTTGCAGAATTTGCTGATGTACACATGTGGGACCGGGAATTAACTGAACGAAATATATTCTTTGTAGTCTTGAATATTTACATGAGACAGCGAAATGGGGTTTAACGTCCATTCGACGTTCAATTTGACTTCAATAATTCCCTTGCGCGTAGGTGTCCTTAGCAGTGGGTTGAAACCGGGAGCCCCGGGGAAACCCTACGAGATTGGACAGGCGATCATACTACTTGCCATGTACATGTGTGTGATGGAATCTTCACCACTTGATTCAATGACAGCAGACCTTATGATCTAAAGCATGCGCGTTAGAAAATTCGTCCCCTACCACCTCCACTAAAAGAGAAAAAATTAGGTCGAGTCAAATAAAACCCAATCAATCAAAATAATGAAAAGTGAACCCGTGAAAATAAAGCTGTCGGAATGGGCATTGGGTGTTCTATGTTAAGTTGGATGGCCGAATGGTTAGCACGTGTGCGTTGTAACATAAGGTCTGTCATTGAGTTAACTGGCGTGGTTTTGATTCCCCGGTTGTACGTGACAAGGAGTAGGGTCGCCTGTTCAATCTCGTGGGTTTTCTCCGGGTCCTCCGGTTTCCTCTCTCTGCTACAGACTCGTACGCGCAAGTGAATTATTGAAATGAAATTGAACAATATGTTAGTCCCGAAATGACATAGTTCCCCCCCCCCCCTCTCTCTCTCGCTCTCTCTAAAAGAGTAATTATAACGTCGTGAAGGTAATATGAGAGTGATTAAATCATTTTTTCACCATTTTCCCCAAGCACAACCCGAAAGTCCCTTTAGTGCGGGGGGAATGGGGCGAGGCGAAGGGGTATATGTGGTTACAGGAACTATTGTGTACAGATGGACGGACAGAATTAAACGCGGATTCAACAGTTTGCATTTGGAGAGTATCTAGCAGGGAAAAGGATCATTTTGTCTTTTTCATTACTCGCTTACTTACTGTTATTTTCAAAACTTGTGGATAAATAAGGGCATCCGTCGGTCCTTAAGGATAACTACTATAATAAGACTATAATATAAGCGGGAGTAAAAATCGATGTGCCTATTATATGTTTTTTGTTTTTACCTGAGTGCAAAGTATAATCATCTTTTATTAACGAGTTTCTTATCTTTTCAATTCATATTAGGTCTGAATCGATAGAACGAGCTATTTAATTACAGTTCGTTGTTATAGAAAAACATTGTTTTCCTTTCATTGTATAAATATTTAAAGCATCATATGTAAAGTGATAATAACCCCCAATATTACAAAAATAGTAATTAATGATTTTATTACTAAATACAATACACAGTAACAAGAACACTTAACAAATACAATACATTATTACAACACTGAATTAAATCGGTCAATCACATAGTGCTTTTTGAAGCTTACATTAGAGTCCAGAGAGAGAGAGAGAGAGAGGAGGGGAGGGTAATTTCGATCTCACCAAACGATTACACATGCTTAAAGAATGTGGATTTTAAATGTTCTTAAAGATCTACGTTCCTAGTCTAGAAATTGGCAGAACAGTACCTGCAAGTGCTTCTTCCTAACAGAAAATAACCTCGCTTAGAAACAGGTGGGCCGTGACTGATAACCATTCGCCATCACTTGCGTGACATCTGTAATCAGTGAGTTATATAACCAGAGACGTAGCAGGGAAAATGAAATTAAATGAAATGGGGTTTAACGTCCTACTGTTCTGCTCCGACTGGGATAATGAAGGCAGGCATGTGCCATACAGTTTGCTATGAGGGGAATTTTACCCGGTCTACTCTTATATCGAATTCCAACTGCCAAGGGATCTTTTACGTGTATGCCAATGTATACACGGGACCTCGGTTTTTCGTCCTATCCGAACGAATACACAGCTGTTCTTGTCAGGCCCTCTGTCTTGCACCACTGACAAGGGGAAACCACGTCGGAAAACCCCGATAAACTTTCTCGGCCAATGCAGGGATCGAACACCCGACCTCCAGGCTAGCGAGCCAGCGTCTTAACAACTTGGCCACTGTGCCTCCCACGTAGCTGGGAAAGTCGACCAATGACAGAAGTGTGAAGGGGCGCAAATATTTCTCTAACCTTTAAAACCCGTTAATTAAGAAGTATGTCCTCCCATTTTTCAGATTTATATTCCTGATAGAATATAACTACCGACAATATTTAAAGCATATACATCTATTCGGTACAGTTAATAAATATAATTAATTGATTTTTTTTTAATATTTAGTAATATAGGCCGAAGTCGTGACAACGTGGCCCGGCACCAAAAGTGTCTTTCCTGGCGGGCCGATTAAGCACGAATGTCCGAGTTCGCGTAATTAGCCGTATTGTTGACAAAACATATATGATGAAAAACATGGCAGCTAATAGATAAAAGTGTAATAATTGTCATCCTCATTATTAGGGCTTCTGGAATCCACATTCAAACCACTGCTCTGGTTAGATGTTGTGACGGATGCCGTACTACCTTGGATTAAAAATAGCTTGAAAAATATATACCTTGTAGAATTATCCTCTGTGTTGCACGCCCCACATAAATGAAATGAAATGAAATGGGGTTTAACGTCCTACTGTTTTACGCCCCACATAAGAAACCACTGTAAAATTCATCTGCACCGTGCACACGTTATGTTGCACAATACCCTGAAAAATTTCACTTCGAGTAGCACACTTTAGTGTGAAAATAATTGACATTAAAACTCAATCCGGTGTTGCACATTTTTCTACAGAAATACTACCCGGAAAAGTTCATCTAGTGTGGAGAAAAAAGTCTTGTAGATTGTCTACGTTACCCAATGTATTCGAGAAAAAAAGCTCACATTACTGTAAACAAATTTACCTGAAAAAGCCCTCTTCATATAGCACACTCTGGGAAATAACTAGCTTGTAAATTTGCCATAACAAAATAACTGTATTGACAGGAAATCAAACTCGATATCATGTCTCTTTAAAAAAATATTTATCAATAATATTTTTAGTTTATTAATCCAGCCAAACGATGTTAAAAATTGATAAATTAGAACAGGAAAATAGTTGGAGGTAGAAAGACATCAATTAACGTCATGGGAAATCAATAAAATCAGGGGCTCTGTGATTCGTTAGTTCGTCTACCATTAATATATAATGCAATACACCAGAGGTATTCAGGCCATTGAATGACAACAGTCTGATAACAAGGAACTGAATATAATATCAAAGGTAAGATAATTATATTTTAAAGAACTTAAATGGGGACTTGGGTGTTAAAGTGGGGTTCTATAAAACTAATATTTTAAAGGACTTAAATGGGGGTTTTGGTATTCAAGTGTCGTAGCGGTATCAGACTAATATTGTAAAGGACTTAAATGGGGGTTGGTGTCTTAAATTGTCCTGCCGGGATTTTTAAGACGAATATTTCAATGAACTTAAATGGGGGCGGGGATGTTAAAGTGTCAAGCCGGGGCTCTTTAAGACTAATATTTTAAAGACCTTAAATGGGGGTAGGGGGTATTAAAGATTTGTGACAAGTTTCTTTCAGGCTAATATTTTAATATTTTAATCGGGCTGGAGTCCTTTAAGATTAATATTTTATGGGACTTAAATGGCGTTGGGGTGTTAAAGTGTCGTAGTGGAGTTCTTTCAGACTAATGTATTAAATAACTTAAATGGGGGTTGGAGTCTTAAAGTGTCGCGTAGAGTTTTTTAAGACTAATATTTTATATGACATAAAATGAGGGTGGGGTGTTAAAGAATCGTGTGGGGTTATTTAAGAACAATACTTAAATGGGGGTTGGGGCGTTTAAATGTTGTGTTGGGGTGCCTTAGAGCTAATATTTTAAAGGACTTTAAGAGAGTCGTGACGGTGTTCGTTAAGACTAATCATTTAAAGGACTTTAAGAGGGTCGTGGCCGGGTTCTTTAAGACTAATCTATCAAAGGTCTTAAAAAAAAAGTCATTGTGGGATTCTTTGAGACTAATATAATTTAAACGACTACAAAGGGTAGTGGCGGGTTCTTAAAGACTAATATTTTAAAGGATTTACAAAAGTTCGTGACGGAGCTGTTTAAGACTAATATTCTAAAGGCTTTACATGGGTGTGGGGTGGAGGTGGGGGATATTTCGGTTCTTTAAGAATAATATTTTTAATGGCTTACATGTAGGAAGTGTGTGTGTGTGTGTGGGGGGGGTGATTGAAGTGTTGTATCTAGGTTTTTTAAGACTTATATGTTAATGGACTTAAACAGGGTCGTGTCGCGGTTCGTTACGAATAATATTTTAAAGGACTTAAATGTGGGTGGAAGTGTGTGTGTGTGTGTGTGGGGGGGTGATTGAAGTGTTGTATCTAGGTTTTCTAAGACTAATATGTTAATGGACATAAATAGGGTCGTGTCGCGGTTCGTTACGAATAATATGTTAAAGGACTTAAATGTGGGTGCAAGTGTTTAAAGTCTCGTTTCGGGGCCCTTTTAACCGGTGATTTGAATTAAAGGAACAACGTCAGATAGTACACAAAAGTATGTATTAATTTAATGTAAAGACTGCTGTTATTTTGTAACTACGCACATCAGAATGAATGTATAAGACGCATAAAGATGGCAGTTTGAAATCAATAGAAACCATGGTCAACTTTAATTTGCCTTAATTTGTAACGTTTTAGATTTGGCCCCCTAACGGAATTAGCCTTCATTGGGAGGGATGCCTAATCTTGTTGCATTCAGCGGGTCGAATTCTAATAAAAACCACATTCAAATCGAGCTCCGAGAGAATTTGTCACAAAGGTTACCCAACTATAAATAAACAAAAAATGCTCCATAGCGACCACCTTTAATATTTAAATTTCCCCAAGGGTGCCAATTTAGCCAATCTGGTTAAAACACAGATACTATTTCGTTTCGTTTTTATAGTTCAAAATTTCGTTTTACTTGTGTTTACTACGTAGGCCATCGAAAGTATAAAAAACG